CACGGGCCTTGCATGTCAAAGATAGTGCCTTCTGACAGGCACGACACCATGACCGTTGTACCCCTTGCTGCTTGACCGCACGAGCCCTGGGGTACTGCGTGGACCTCCCTTCTTGGGAGGTGTTCGTCGAGCTTAGGCAGACTCATGGTTGTATTGTCTCCACCGCCTCTTGGTATCATGGCCTCTCACTTCGTGCGGGCAATCTGTTGTCTGGGTTGCGCTGCGAAAAGGGAATTTTCCTTGGCCTGTTCGGCGATGCGACCACTGTATTCCTTAGGCAAGAATCAGCACTGCCGATTGTCGAACCTGCCTTGTGAGAAATGTTTGGACATCAGGCACAGCCATTTGACACAGCGGCGACACGATCGCATTTTGAGATGAAAGATAGGCCCCTTTGTTTGGCCTTTCTGTGACCCTCGAGTGATTGGATCCCTCGATCCTTGTTTTGTGCAATTGCTTCGTTCGACATGCCTTTTGCGTTGTGAATTCGGGCCCTCCACAATACATAGTTCTCAACTTTTCACTCGTCTCACCTTAGCACAGAGGAGACACTAACGTATGATGGGGAAATGGCCTCTGGCCTTTTGGGTCTGGTTTGGTTCTGGTTTGGGTCTTTTTCTTGGCGGTGTTTGGGTTTGGTTTTGGTGTTGGTCTGTTTGGTGGTTTCGTTTTTGGGGGTGTTCTGCTTGTTTGGTTGGGTTCGTCTTTGTCCTTTTTCCCCTTCATCAAGTAGTGTCTCCTTCCTTGCAATGATGACCTGGGCATCCTGCCCACATGGCGTCCGTACTCGTGGAAAAAAACGTCGACATGACCGTCTGAACAGTACTCTGCTTGCGGGACAGCTTTGTCGTCGGTATATATGAAATGACGCGCCAAAAAAAATATAGATATACACATATACATGTATACACACATATTTGTATACGCACGGGACACCGCACATATATGTCTGCGCAGGTGCACAGAGCGCACCGGCAGAGTGCGTGCACAGCTTTTTCCGCTGGGTGTCGCGTGGACGGCCAAAACGAGCGGACCAGAGACACGGAGACCGCGGCCCAGCCGCGGTATATTTACCACAGTCGTGCGCCAAAAGCCCGCGGCCCAGCCGCTGCGCCTGCTCCCGGGCGGGCGGTCCTGCCGCCGCTCACTCTGCCGCCTTGTCCGCGTCGGCGGCCTTGGCCTTGGTCTTGGCCTTCTTAGGACGCTGGGCCTTCTGCTGCGCCTTCTCGGCCCGGTTCTCTTCCTCCAAGCTCTTGGCGAACTCTGCCGCAGGCTTGAGCTGCTGGATCAGGGCTAGATGCGTCGGCTCGTTCCGGGCGGACCGCGCCACGCAGGCCTTCGCCTGTTCGACGAACCGCTCCAGCGACTGCACCGCGCTATGCGCGCCAGTCAGGGTTGTACACACCCCGGCAGTTTCGTAGTTTCGCCTGTTGAGATGAAGATGTGAGTGAAGATGTGAGATGTGAGAAGATGTGAGAAAGGGAGATGAGAGGATGTGAGAAGATGTGAAATGTGAGATGTAAGAAGATGAGAAGATGTGAGATGAGAAGATGTGAGAGAAGATGTGAGATGTGAGAAGATGTCAGATTTGAAGATCTTTTATGTATAGATCCATTTACATCTCCTTTTTGAAGAACCCTTCGCTCAGACGCTCTCGGGAAAAAGTTCTTGGATGTAGTAATCTAATTCCACGCAGCCCCCACGCAAAATCATATTTCTTGCTTTTAGAGTGTGAGTTGTATTGCTCCCCAAAATATCAAAGTTCTAATTTAATTCTGGTTCAGTTCAAATTCCAATATATATATATTTAAATTCAAATGTTTAGTCTATTTCAAGTATGGTTTAATTTTGCTTTGGTTCAAATTTCCTTCACTACAGAGTTTAGTTTATGTGGGATTCAATGGAAGCCGAATGATACTTTGGTTTCAAGCTACCTTTAATTTCGTTGCTATACAGTTCAGGTTCAATTCTAATATTTTATTCTGTTCCACTTGAATTTTAGTTTTTATGATATTCTCATTTACTTCTAGGGAATTGGTGTTGCTTGGAGCATGAAAAATTTTTATGACGTTTTTCCATCATGGAAACATTTGCGTTCTTAAATGAAATAAATTCACACCCCAGCAACACCCACTCTCTAGAATGAAATCAATACTCAATTAGAATTCCAAGTGCATTGAATTGGAATCAAATTAGACTTAAATTGGACATATAGAAATCAAAATGAGATTGCAATGACAATGGTGTAAAATTAGAAGTGTAAAACAATTGAACCTGAACTGTACAATTCGAGTCGTTTAACCTAGGGCTTGGTTAGTAGAACAGTATTGACTTAGAATTAGGTTATAGTTAAATTCAAGTAGAATTCGGCTAGAATAGAATTACAGATTCAATTTGAATTCAATTACATAGAATTCAATTTTGCTTAACTTAGAATTAAATTAGAAACATGTTGCAGATTCACATTTAAAATCAAAATTGAGTTGAATGTTGGATCCAAAGTAATCAAACACAATTAGAATTGTAATAGAATTGAACTAGAAGAAAGACTGAATTAGAATTTGACTACAACGTAATTTAAGATACATTAACACACACCTATGTCGCTCTTCAATTTACAGTTTCGACATGGAGCAGACGACCAGCATTTGGTGTATGAGTTGTTCCCAACACAAGAAGTACAGAACTTCGATGAACTTGTGTTCAAGACTAAGTGGACAGACATTAAAGTTGAAACTTTTTGGAACCCTTTCCAGATCGCCTCGCAATCGACTTTTTTTGTCGATATGGTGAGCGTAATTTGCGGCTCAGACATGTGAGAGTTTCGTGTCGGTCCCTTTTTAGCCGGCCCTGCCTCCTTAAGGAGGCGCTTACTTAATGAAGGGAGAGTAAACACGCTAGTAGCAGACTAGGTAGCTCCTAGTTCGCACTGATGATTTGGTTCCTAGATGTTTAGGAACACTTAGTTAGTTGAATGTGATGTTCTATTTGTCATGTGGATAGATAAAGCATGATAAAGCACACTGTGTTGTCGCTGGAAGCGTGCTTTCTGAATCGAGGCAGGATATGTGTTGAAGTTCTGTGTAAACCATTTGTGTTTGATGTGTGTCAACCTTCTTGAGGTGGTGGTTTTTGCATTTTGTTCATCAGGCCTGCTCAAAGCTGAAAGTCCTTGTTGTTCTTTGTGTTTTTTCACATACCTGTCTTGTTGCCTTTCCTCTTTCTTGTGTTGTTTGTTATGTGCGTGTTCTTTGAGGATGCTCTTCGGATCCAAGTGTTTCAGGCAGTTGAACGATTTGAATCAGGCCAGGAGACTCCTCAATCACTCCTCGATTCCGTCATTTCCTCTCCAGGCGGATGAGGGCATTCACTTCTTCAATTGAAGGAAGTGAACAAGAAAAAGACGTGTGAAAAAAACAGTGAAACAACATGTGCTTACATACGATAGTTGTTTTCTTTTCGCTGCACCCCACTGCACCCCACAGTGCAGTGTAAACTTCGATGCTTTATAGAACATCTCACGGAGCATTTTTGTTGTTTTGAACATCAGTGCATGCGGCACATTTGCCAAACAAAAGAAGTGTACACATATGCCGTGCCACATGATACCCACAACACTAGGGATTGCATCCGCACATTGGCAAAGCTATTGTTGAGACTGCGTTTGACTGCATTTCTGCATTCGATGCAGACAGCCCACAACTCAGTTGGTCGCATGGTCACATTACCCAGTTTCAGCACGTCTCTCAGCTTTGCACCGTACTTGAACTCGTTTAAAGCTGGGCTGAGTTGGCAGGTATAACAGCTAGAGAAGGTCTATTACTCTTCGCCGTAACAAAATCACATACCTGCCAGACAGATGAGCATTCTTGCAAGAGAACTTACTTGTTTCTGTTTTGAAAATAGACAACGAAAACATATGTGTTTCTTCATGTTTCTTCTACGTCGCCAACGTGTTGGGGGTGTCTCTGGGTGTCTCTGGGTGTCTCTGGGTGTCTCGGTTCAGTTCCCCTCGATCTTCGAAAGGTGAAGATCCGAAACGAACGGATTTCGGAAAAAGACCGAGAAGTTGAGCTAGTTCGGTCAGGTCATCGACTAACGATCTCCAACCTTCAGCCATTTGGAGCGAAGATTGAGCAAGAGTCGTCAAGAGCCCCTAGTAGCTTCCATGCTCCTCGTAGTAAGGCCAGGAGCCCCTAGTAGCTTCCTTGCTACCAGTAGCGATGCCAGGAGCCCCTAGTAGCTTCCTTGCTCCTAGTAGCGATGCCAGGAGCCCCTAGTAGTTTCCTTGCTCCTAGTAG